CCTTAGGACAGGTGACACAGGGGACAAGGGGACACAGATGACTGGTGGCAGGGGACAGGTGAGAAGGGGGGAGAGCGTGGAAGTGCCACCAGCCCATGCCCAGAGGGTCCCCAAGTGTCCCCAAATGTCCCCAAGTGTCCCCAGGCTCGGCAGACTCCGCTCCCTCCTGTGATGTGCTTAGGACAAGTGACACAGGGACAGAGGGACACAGGTGACCAGTGACCACAGCCAGCTCCCCTCTGGGCAGGGACAGGCCACCAGCTGATGTCCACAGGGTCCTCAAGTGTCCCCGAGGGTCCCCAAGTGTTCCCAGGCTCGGCAGACCCCGCTGTCCCCTCGGGCCGAGCGGTGCCACGGGAAGGTGACACAGGGAAGGTGACACAGGGAAGGTGACACGGCTGTGACAAGGCCAGCAGGACAGACCAGGGCTTTGCGGGGGGGGCGGCCACCAGTTTGGGGACAGCGCTGTCCCCACGGAGGCCCAGAAGATCCCGTGGGATTTTCCACGTGCGCCGCTTCCATGGAAAATCCGCCCCTTCCTCCTCCTCCTCCTCCTCCTCCTCCTCCTCCCGCCGAGCCCCAGCCCCGCTCCCAGCTGGCAGCAGATTGTCACCACCGCCAGCAGCAGATTGTCGCCTCCCTTGTCGCCTGAAGAAAAGGCTCTTTGTTGCCGGGAATCCCGGGATTTAATGAGCCGCGATTTAACGAGCCGCGATTTAAGGTCCCGCCATTGTTCGGCCCCTCCCGCACTCCGGGGTGGCAAGGGGGACAGAGAGGGACACGGTGACAGAGTGGGGACACGCGTGGGGACACGCGGGGGACCCTCCCGGGTGCGGCCGTGGCGATCCCGAAGGATCCGCGCGGATCCCGATCCCAAACCCGGGAATCTCAGTCCCAAACCTTGATAATCCCAAATCAACCATTGTCACCCTGGTGGCACTTGGGGACAGCATTTGGGCACCCCCTCCCGGGCACGGACCCTCTGGGAAGAGTGGGATTGGAGCAGGAGGAAGGTGGGAATTTTTTCCCGGGAAAAAACTGGGATTTCTGGGAGCTTAGAATCTCCTGGATCTGGGATTTGTGGGAGCAGAAAATCCCCCTGGATCTGGGATTTGTGGGATCAGGGATTTATAGGAGCAGATAATCCCTTGGATCTGGGATTTATGGGATCTGGGATTTGTGGGATCAGGGAACCCCGAGATCTGGGATTTCTGGGATCTGGGATTTGTGGGAGCAGGGAATCCCCTGGATCTGGGATTTATGGAATCAAAACCTGCTGGACCCACGGGGTCACTGCATCCCCCCCAGAAGGGCTCAGGGTCCCCTCCAGGATGTCCCCAACCCTTTTTTTTTTCCTGGGAATCTCCTGGAAAAAAATCTCCAGGCTCTCCTGGTCTCATCCCAGTGGGAAGGAACCACCCCCAGCCCCATTCCCGGGGAAATTCCCGGAACTCAAAGGAGCCGGAATCCCACAAAGATTCCTCGGGATTTGTCGCACCCCAAAGCGCTTTTGGGGTCCCTCAAATGTCTGGATAGGGACAGAGGGACCCCAAAAATTCCGGGAAATCCTTCAAATCCCTGGACAGGGACAGAGGGAACGGGGACAGAAGGGACCCCAAAAACTCCGGGAAAATCCCAAATCCCTGGAGGCGGGCAGGGCACAGGGAGGGGATTTGGGGACTCACCCTTGCCGGCTGTCGCCATCTGTCCCCTGCTCCGTCCGGCGTTGTCGCTGTCCCCAATTTCAGCGGCCGGGGGGCATCGTCCGGGAATTCTGCGGGAATGGGGCGGGAATGGGGTGGGAATGAACGGAAAGGCGCCAGTTCCATCCCATTGCGGGGACAGCGGTGGCACCGTGGTGGCCCCGAGGTGGCCCCGAGGTGGCCGCGATCCTGGCGGGGAGGAGCCTGCGGCAGAGCCAGGGCCTGGAATGGGAATTTTCCTCATCCAAAATCTCCGGGATTTGCGGGAATTTGGGAATTCCTCCCGCCCCGCCTGTGCCTCAGTTTCCCCTTTTTTTCCCCCCTATTCTCAAAAAAAAAAAAAAAAAAAAAAAAAAAAAAAAAGTCTGGGAGGTTTGGGAATGTTTTCCAGGCTGGAAGCAGCAGCGCAGGTCCCAAACTTGGAGCCCTTCCCAAATCGCTTTTCCCAGGATAAACGCGAGCGCGGAGCCGAGAATTCGGGATGTGACATCCCAAAAAAAATCCCCCTGGATGGAATTGGAGCATCCAACCTCCTCCTCCTTCCTGGGATCGCCCCATGGAAAGGCTGGAGCGGGAAATCCATGGGGGAAAAGAAAAACAACAAAAAACAAATTTTCGGGAAAAAACGAGATAAAACAAAACCGAGCTGGAACGGGGGGAGCCTCACCCAGGTTGGGGAAATCCAGGGATTTGGGGGCGTCCCAAGCCACACCAGGCGGGTGAAGGGGGGGAGGTGACACCAAACCTCAGCATCGGGGTGACAGCAGGAGGGGACACCGCGAGGGGACACCGGGGGCGCGTTTGTCTCTCCCCCCCTCCGCCTTTCCCGAGCGCTCCCGGCCCCGTTTTCCCTCCGCCATCCCCCGCGGCCCCTCCGCCTCTTCGCGGGGCAGTTCCGGTCCCTTTGCCACCCTCCAGGTGTCCGCAATGTCCCCCAATGTCCCCCAATGTCCCCCCGGTGTCGCCGTGCCCCGCTCACCCCGCCGCTCCCGCTGCCCGCTTCCCGCTGTGCGGACACGCCCCCTCGCTGCTATTGGCTGGCGCTCCCTCAGTCCGCACTCCCATTGGTCAGCGCGCACGCCGGTCACGCCTCCAGGCCACGCCCCCGACAGCGCTTCCCGGGCCGTTGCTAAGGGGCGGGACTGTAGCCGGCGGGCGTTGCTAGGGGGCGGGGCTAAAGGGGCGGGGCAGCCAATGGGGGAGGCCGCGCTCGCCGCGGGGCGCCCCCTTGTGGGCGGCGGGGACGTTGCCATGGGAACGGGGAGGGGAGAGGGAGCGGCCTTCCCTTCCCTTCCCTTCCCTTCCCTTCCCTTCCCTTCTTCCCTTTCC